TCATGTATGCCAATGTTTTTGAAATTTTCGAAACGCAGCCCCACACCTCTAACTTCAACAGCAGGCGTCTACACTATCCCCTGTGGGTTCTGTCCCAAGAAATATGTAGGCGAGACAGGCAGTGATCTTGCAGTCCGCTTGAATGAGCATCGAAATGCCTCTAACAGAGACGATGTAAGGTACGCCTGTGTCATCCACAGAGACTCCACGGGACATTTGATGAACTGGAACGAGGCACAACTCGTTCTCACCGAACCAGACCTCAGACGCCGACGGTGCCTCACTAATCGCCGTCACCGACACTATAGAACGCAACACTGGAAACTACAAAATTTAAAAAACATTGGCATACATGATACTTAAGCAGCACCAACCCAACAACACAGGAGTCACATGATTTCAACGTCTACCCGTCCTCATCATAGGCAGAGGTTGTTTTGATAAGGACCTGCCTCGCATGGGCCAGTAGGCCTTCAATCAATCAATCAATACTCTCAGGTAAGACCCGTGCGGGTGAAAGGGGGAGAGGTGGACAGGGGAAGAATAGTGGGTGAGAGGATGTTTTAAGTTGTAGGAAAAGAGCCAGGGCTTAACCCAGCAGCATAGCATTATGGGGCTGGTTGAGGGTCTGGTTCTGGGCTTGGTTGAGCATCGGCAATGGCGCAGCGAAGGACTGGACTTGGTCCGGCAATGGTCCAGCAATGGAGGCAAAGGCGCAATGGGAGGCGGCGCCACGCCATCGCAGGTCATTCTGTTGTCTGCCTCTAGGTATGCAAGTGGCGGGGGAGAGGAAGGCCTGAGGTTGGCGGGAAAAGAAAAAAGACGTCGTTAAAGGTCCACACCTGCAGAGGGCAGGAAAGAGTTTAGAGGGAAGATTTATGTGTAAAGAGGGAGTGGGTCAGGGTTGTAGAGAGATTGGAAAAGGTTTAGAGTGTTTTCAGGTCGCCTGATTATTTCGTCTAGGAAGGTTGTCCAGGTGTCTTGGTGAGTTTCGAGTCGGTCAATTTGTCTGTCACTGAGTTTCTTCCAGAATACGTTCAATGCCGGAGTGCCGGTCCTGATGTGGAGAGACTCGCTGGTGGCAAAGTCGTCCCACCTCACTCCTAGCACCCACCGCAGAGCACGATTCTGGATTTGTTGTAGCTTTAGGATGTTCGTTTTGGCAGCGAGTGACAAGCCGAGAGGTGTATAAGAGAGAAGGGGACGGATGAGAGCCTTATATAGATGGAGTTTGGTGTGTGGGTTTGCGCCTCTGAGCTTGTACAGTCGCCCTAGGGCAGAACTGGCCAAGGTTCTTTTAACATTTATGTGGGTGTGTAGTCTGAGTCTGGCGTCTAGGTTTACACCTAAGACTGTGGTGCTGTGAGTTCTGGGGATGGGTGTTCGTGTGGTAGTGGTTCTGAGGTAGACAGGTAGGGGCGGCCGTCCTTTGGGGAAGAAGTAGGTGATTTTGGATTTGGCGGCATTTGTTTTGATTCGCCACAGGATCTCCCATGCACTTATCCTGTCCACCTCACGTTGAGTTCTGAGTGAGAGGTATCTGTTGCGTTCGTGTGTGGTGAGTTGTGTGATGTCGTCAGCGTATGCCAGTGTGAGTGTGTTGTGGTGTGCAGGGTTGGGGATGTCATTTATGTAAAGGATGTACAAGGTGGGGGAGAGGACAGAGCCTTGGGGAACTCCAGCGTGCAGGGTGAAGTGGTCAGAGAGACAGTTCCTGAATTTTATTCTCATCATGCGGCCATCAAGGAAGTTGCTGAGTAACTTTTTGACATTCAGGGGAAGGTCAAAATGATTACACAACTTGTACTTCAGCCCCGAGTGCCAGACCGTGTCGAAGGCTTTCTCCACGTCCTTAGCAACTAGGGCCATTGCACAGCCTTGGGCCTCATTTATTCGAATATAATTCAGGATAATGTTGAGAGCTGCCTGCGTAGAGCGGTGTTGGCGGAAGCCAAATTGTCGGTCAGTTAGTAGGTGGTTTGTCTCTAGGTGCGTCCTTAGTCTGTGATTTATAAGTCTTTCAAATGTCTTCCCAAGGGTCTCCAGTAGACTGATGGGTCTGTAGTTTCTTGGGTCAGTCGGGTCTTTGCCAGGTTTTGGGATGAGTGTGGCTATGGCAGATTTAAATAAGGAGGGGAAGTATCCGGAGGCGAGGCAGGCATTGTAGAGGTCTGTGAGTGCTGAGATGACAGAGTCCGGGAGGTGTCGAAGTATGTGGTGGGATAGTCCTGAAGCTCCTGGGGCTCTGGGAGGAAGCTTCAGGATTAAGGCTTTGACTGAAGGGTGGGAGAAAGGGGTGTTTAGAATGTGGGTGGAGGTGAGAGAGGAGAGTTGTATAGTAGGGTCAGGTTGTGTCATGTGTCTGTGTGTGGATATCCAGTGTTCTAAGGCTTGAGTGTGTTGTTGTGCAGCAGGGTCAGGCGGGTGGGGGTGGAAGATGTTTTCCCATATGTCCATGAAGGCTCGTGCTGCTTGTGTAGGGTCTGTGATGTTTATGTTGTTGTGTGTGATGTGCTGGAAATGTGTTGTTTTTGGGACTCCAGTGACTCTCCGGATGAAGGTCCAGAACTCCCTGGGGTCCTGTATGCGGTGTTTTTCAGCAGCCTGGACGAGGGCCAGCCAGTGTTTGGCATGGTCCTCATCCAGGCCTTCTACAGTGTTCCTCCATTCTTATGTTCTTATATTCTTATGACATTCCTCAGGTCACGTGCGTCACACCTCACTCTCCGCCTATATATATAATGTCTTTCTACCTCTGTATGTTTTAGCTCATCTCTTCCCGCAGAGCAGGCAAAGAGTGGAGGTCGTACAAAATCAGGCGATAAGAACTATGCTTGGGGCCCCCATCTGGACCAACACAGCATGTCTCAGATCTGAGGCCCGGCTTCCTTCCTTGGTTGACAGAGTAAGATACATAAACGCCTGCAAAGTGGCCACGATTCTGCACAGGCAGCAAGGTACCCCACTAAGGAGACGGATATTGACAACCATGTCACAAGATCCCACACTCTTCACGGACTACTCCTGGATTCGTTCGTTTTGTGCTGCTGGGCGGAAGCTGCTGCCTATACAACTACTCCTTGAGAAGAGTTGTGACCTTCCTGTTGCTGGGTACCATCCACCACCTCCCTGGCGCCCAGATCCAGCCGATGTTTGCATCATGCAGCTACCCATCTCTAAGCGTCTCTGCAGTCAAGACACTCTCAGCAATCATGCTGAGACAAGCATGGCACTGGCAGAGGGAGGCACATGTGCAGTGTATTTCACAGATGGTTCTGTCGACCCTGACAGGAAGAGAGCAGCAGCTGGACTGTACCACAATGGTCACACACAAGGCTGGCGACTCCCTGACCACTGCACGATCCTTCAAGCTGAGCTGGTGGCGATTCAGCAGGCATTGTCACATGCCCTACGACATCGACTCCGACCTGTCATACATGTTGATTCCACGTCTGCAATCAATGCCCTCTCCCATCCTCAACCACAGGACAATGTTCACCTCATCACATCGATCCTGAGCATAATGACAGCCTTAGAAGTTCAGGGTAACAGATCGACATTGAACTGGATCCCCAGCCATGCTGGCATCCGGGGAAATGAGGCGGCAGATGATGCAGCCAAGGCAGCAACAGACTATCCACATGTTGGGATTACTGTCCCAATCAGCCTACGACAGACCAAACTGGTGGCTGCCAGAGCCATGAAACTTATGGGGGAGGTCTTAGGTGATACCCCATCTCAACAGTGGTACCGAGCAGCGACTCAGGGAGAACCCCCTCCATATGATAGAAGCTGGTCCAGAGCGCAGTGTACCGCCATCCATCGGCTTCGTTTGGGCTTTCCCACAGCCAAGATGATGGTAGACAAGGCTGAGGAGATGTGCCAGTACTGTCAGCACGTTGTCCAGCGGCCCCTAACACACTATCTTCTGGAGTGCGAAGTTACTGAGACGCTCCGCAGGCAACTAGGAGTGATATTCCCTCCCGAAGAGGACCCAGAGATGACTGCGGCCACACTAGTGTACCATGGAGTCAACGAACCAGACAAGCTGTTACCTGTGATAACGACATATCCTCCTCCTCGCTAGTGTCCACAGTTAGGAGTACATACGGTGTTGTCGCTTATGAGATGCACCAGTTGAACTGACCAGAAGAGTGCTTGAACAGCATATGTCGCATCATTGTAGAAACCTTTCTCCCTCGGGAGCCAGAGACGGGTCATCGCAAGATTGAGACCCGTGCCAGGACTACGGTCTTGGCGAACATTATACATACATACATACCTCTGTATGTTAGAAGTGATCAAGGTCCCAGGACCGAAACGTTTTCTAATAAATATGTCATAGTGTTTGCTTACGTGTCTTTCTAAACCAAACAAGTACATACATCACGAAGTGAGGAGAGGCTGTATTCATATGGAACCTATGCGATTACGAAAATTATGCATAATACAAGTGGAACCTTGATGTGGTTTGGACATTTAGAGAGGCTGGAGCAAAACAGAATGACTAAGAGGCTACGTATATAATTCTGGGGTGGAGGGAGTGTTAAAAAGGAAGTTTTGAGTGCTTGGGAGTTGAGCATCCAACAGGATTTTGTGAGCACATTTGATATGAGTGACTGGAGGCAAATGATTTGACATGTTGTAATATGAGCAAAGTAACTTTTTCTTTTGAAGGATCACACTACCTTGGTGAGAGACACCTGGGGCGTTAAAACAATGTGGAACATAAATTTTTATGACAATTATGTAATCTGTATGTGAAACTCAAATGGTTATGACAATTAATTACAATATACGAGATTATTACTGTATTATAATCACGGGGGGCACTAAACTCGAAAGATTATACAGCGCACATGGGGAAGGGGGGATGGAAGGTCTTCAGGTTCAATTCAGGGAACCGAAGCACTGATCCAATTCCCTAGATCAAGAACCCCTCACCAGCATCAATGAGCCTCCTTTGAGGGGTACAATACAAAAAGGCTGAGAATACTCACCGCCACCACTCTTGTAACAAAGGTAGGGAAAGCGCCAGAGGTTACCGAGGCCCACAGCATAACCAACACAAGCTAGGATGAACTGGGCCTTATTTTCCCACGTCTGACGTGGCTCCATTTCCTTGCCACCTCTACGTTTGCTCCCAGCATCGTCCTGCCCGTCCCTGTACCAGACACAAGAATAAGAACAAATAGCTACTTCATTATGAAAGGTTCAAAAAATACTAATGCTAATACTAATACTGCTGCTATGTATGATAATCTATGTAACTGTATTTGTGTATACCTGAATAAACTTACTTATTCAGTCTGCACAACAAGCAGAGACATGACCCTAGCAAACACAAACCGTAATACACAAACTATTACAGTAAATCGTACATTTAACTCTTGTGACAACTTTTAATGTTAATGTACGAAATGATTATATAAAAGAAGCACTAAACTCGTGTGGGTCATACAGCTCTGCAACACATCAAATGGAGAACAATAACAACAAACTATTAAGAAAGCATATACTGCACAGTATCTCCAACTCTTAGCAAAAGTTTGTTTACATACAGATACATGTATGTATAATTATCATACACAGTAACCTATGTATGAATTACCTAGAATAACCAACTTATTTCAGCAGAAAGTTATGTTTGATATTCATGTAGCAAACAAAGAATAGGTTTATAATTAACATGAGAAAGAATAAGTAGTTGAATTACAAAAAGTTTGTATCCTTAAATAATAATTTAATACAGTACTCAATAAATACGGTACTGAAATTAGAGAATACTGAAAAAAACATAAAAATAAATAAAGAGACCAAACCTGGATAAAGGAATAAAGACCAGAAATGGAGAAATACATATGTGCAATTATAATTCTTGGACAAAAATACTGATATACCATAAGTGAGGTTGTTCACGCGACAAATATGCACTTCCATGGTATTTTTTTTATTAAACTTAATGTAACTTGACTCTGTGGGTACACTAACTCTTGACATACTGTACATACATACATGCACACTGAGTGTGTGTGTGAGTGTGAGTGTGTATGTGTGTGTGTGTGTACTCACCTAATTGTGGTTGCAGGGGTCGAGACTCAGCTCCTGGCCCCGCCTCTTCACTGATCGCTACTAGGTCCTCTCCCTCTCTGCTTCCTGAGCTGTATCATACCTCTTCTTAAAACTATGTATGGTTCCTGCCTCCACTACTTCACTTGCTAGGCTATTCCACTTCTTGACGACTCTATGACTGAAGAAATACTTCCTCACGTCCCTGTGACTCGTCTGTCTTCAGCTTCCAGTTGTGACCCCTTGTTTCTGTGTCCCCTCTCTGGAACATCCTATCTCTGTCCACCTTGTCTATTCCCCGCAGTATCTTGTATGTCGTTATCATATCTCCCTTGACCCTTCTGTCCTCCAGTGTCGTCAGCCCGATTTCCCTCAACGTTTCCTCGTACGACATTCCCCTGAGCTCTGGGACTAGCCGTGTTACAAACCTTTGTACTTTCTCTAACTTCTTAACGTGCTTGACCAGGTGGGTTCCAGACTGGTGCTGCATACTTCAGTATGGGCCTAACATACAGTGTACAGTGTCTTGAACGATTCCTTATTAAGGTATCGGAACGCTATTCTCAGGTTTGCCAGGCGACCGTATGCTGCAGCAGTTATTTGGTTGATGTGTGCCTCCGGTGATGTGCTCGGTGTTATGGTCACCCCAAGGTCTTTCTCCCTGAGTGAGGTCTTTGTCCACCTAGCCTATACTCTGTCTGCGGTCTTCTTTGCCCCTCCCCAATCTTCATGACTTTGCATTTGGCAGGGTTGAATTCGAGAAGCCAGTTTCTGGACCACATGTCCAGCCTGTCCAGGTCTCTTTGCAGTCCTGCCTCATCCTCATCCGATTTAATTCTTCTCATCAGCTTCACATCATCTGCGAATAGGGACACTTCAGAGTCTATTCCTTCCATCATGTCGTTCGCATATATCAAAAATAGCACTGGTCCTAGAACTGACCCCTGTGGGACCCCGCTCGTCACAGGCGTCCACTGTGATACCTCTTCACGTACCATGACTCGTTGTTGCCTCCCTGTCAGGTATTCCCTGATCCATTGCAGTGCCCTCCCTGTTATATGCGCCTGATCCTCCAGCTTCTGCACTAATCTCTTGTGGGGAACTGTGTCAAAGGCCTTCCTGCAGTCTAGGAAAATGCAATCAACCCACCCCTCTCTCTCGTTTCTTTCCCTGTGTGTGTGTGTTCTTGGTGCCACGAAGTGTAATGCATACTGACCAATGAAAACAAAAATGCGTTAAAATGGCAGTCTACATATTTCTACCTTCAGCTAAGGTATTTTTCAGTAGATACAAAGAATGAGAGAGAGAGAGAGAGAGAGAGAGAGAGAGAGAGAGAGAGAGAGAGAGAGAGAGAGAGAGAGAGAGAGAGAGAGAGAGAGAGAGAGAGAGAGAGAGAGGGAGGGAGGGAGGAGCCATGTACTTACAGGGGTAGAGAGAGAGGGGGCACAGTTTCTTGGGTCCTTGTAGTGCCTGATGACATTTCATATTTTTAGGAAAATGAGGTTGTACAGATGACTCGAGACAAGCTAATATGAGAGGTCATCTGTATACTTTCACGTCCCTAAAAAGGGTAGCCAAGCATAATATAATGTCGGACACCACGAGGTCAAGATGCTCCGCACGGTCTCTGGCCTCATTCCTTTATGCCTGCTGAAGAAGACCTCACCTGCAGCTTGAAATATACAGACCATCATTCTCCCGCATTTTTCTTTCATGTTAAATTTTCCTCTCACTGATCAGAGTGCATTACACTTTGTGGCACCAAAACAAACAAACACACATACACACACCTCATCAGAGGTCTCCCACCAAGGTAGGGTGACCTAAAAAAAAAAAATACACATTTACCATCATTTATTAAATGGCTGTCTTCCAGACGAGCTTGGCCAAAGGCCGGGCTCCGGGATTGCAGCATCCCCACTCCGTCAAAATGCAGTGTCTTCCCCACCCTCAGGAATCAAGTCCAGCTAACCAGTTTCCTTTAATCCTTTCCAACAATACGTCAAGCATTAAAAAATCACTTTATTCCAGGTGCTTCAATCTAACATGCTCAGATGTTCAAACCCCCAGCACTCAAAACCTCTTTTACCCCCTCACTCCAACCTTTCTTAAGATAACCCCTACCCCCTCTTCCTTCCACCTCGGATTTATATAATCTCCCGATCATCCTATTCTGATTCATCCTCTGTAAATGCCCAAACTATCTTAACCCCTTGTCAGCCCTCTGATTTATACCTTTGATACTTCCACTCCATCTTCTAATTTCCACACTCCGAAATCTATTCATGATATTCACACCACACATTGATCTCAACATGACTTCTCCACTGTCTCCAGCCTCCTGTTTGGTGCAACATTTAAAGTCCCTGCCTCACATTCACATAAAAGTGTTGGTATTACTATACTCTGCTACATTACCCGTTTTGGCTCCATAAATAAACTTCATTCTTTCCACAGACATCTGCTTCAAAACACCACCTATTCTTTTCCCTATCTATATTTTGGTTCACCTTGTCTTTTACAGACCCATCTACCGACAAGTCCCTTCCCAAGTATCTGAATAAATTCACTTCCTCCATTCTCTCTCCCTCCAGTCTGATATCTAATTTTGTATTACGTATACTCCTATTGCTCTCATCATCTTGCTCTTTTCTATGTTCACTTTCATTTTTTTTACATACTCTCCCAAATTCCTCCACCAGCCTTTGTAGCCTTTCTTCAGAATCTCCCAGTAGAGGTGTGTCATCGGTAAAAAGAAACTGTGACAACTCCCACTTCTTATCAAAATCATTATTTTTTAATGCTACACTTCTCCTCAACACCCTAGCATTTACTTCTTTTACAACCTCATATATATGTATGTTAAACAACCGTGGTAATATCACACATCCCTGTCTAAGGCTTACATACCCTAACCTAAGCCTCGCTATCCACATCAAAACTCTTGGCTGCCAAGCTCATTTGTTACCCAGGCTTTTTCAACTTATTACTCTCCCTCTAAAACTGTTTCTTATTCTCTGCAAAATTTGCTTATAGAACCTTACCCATTCTCTTATTGGCTCTCCTTTTGCACTCCCTCACGACTCTTTCCAGTTTTCTTCCCTTATACTCTATACTATTTCACTTCTACATTATAAGAACCTCTCGGAAGACAACTTCCCCCCCCCCCTCTTACCATTCCCTGTACCTCATTCATCTTTCCTCCCGCAACCACCCTCCGAAATCCATAAACTTCTGTAACTTACTCTAGCTTTGCCCACTTAGATGTGCCCCACATCTCTTCCACCTCATTATCTCTGATCCACTTTTCTCCAAATAGGTGAGTAATGTTCCTCCGTCTCCTTTAGTTCATTCACTTTTTTCTCTCTTACCAACTGATGACATTCTCCTTGCACTCCATCTACCTCTTACTCACATTGTACTTACATTAGATAATGATCTGAAATATCTATCGTCCCTCTAAAAAAGTTGTACATCCCCATGACTACTCATCAACCTTTTATCTATTATATGCATAGTTAGCAAATCAGTAATTACGCTCAACATCTTATCTCGTACAAGTATTTATCCTTTGTTTCCCTAAAATAATTATTACCTATTACCTGGAGAGGGCTTCGGGGTCAACGCCCCCGCAGCCCGGTCTGAGACCAGGCCTCGTCGTGGATCAGGGTCTGATCAACCAGGCTGTTATTGCTGGCCACACGCAAACTGATATATGAACCACAGCTCGGCTGATCAGGTACTGATTTTAGGTGCCTGTCCAGTGCCTTCTTGAAGACAGCCAGGGGCCTATTGGTAATCCCCCTTATGTATGCTGGGAAGCATTACCTATTACCAAACCTCTTTCCATACGTAATTCAATTAAAGGTCCCCTATTATCATCGTTTACCCGACGCTCTTATATGCGTGTGAAGCATGGGTGGTGAACGTTGAAACAAGAAGGCTGGAGGCAGTGGAGATGTCGTGACTGAGGGCAATGTGCAGTGTGAATATAATGTAGAGAATCCGTAGCTTGCAGAGGGGTTTCCAAAAGTATTATCCAGAGTGCAGAGGAAGGGTTGCTGAGATGGTTTGGACATTTAGATAATGGAACAA